CTGAGGCAGGGGTGAGAGCTCAGGGAGCAGGGGCTCCATCGCATGGCGCCAGCAGGATGGCGACAACGATACAAACGACAAACGATACATTGGCACTGGCTTTGGCCAGGCCAATCCTGGGCCCAGGATCGGTTTATGCGCCCCGTTGGCCTAGCCAGGTCGGCGTAATTTTGTACCGACCTTAGGCCCAGGATGGGCCTTGTCAAGATCGGCGAGGATGTACATTTGCGGTTGCCTGAGCCAGGCCCCAGGTGACCAGGGGGATAAGACGAAGGCAAAATCAGGACAAATCTGAATGCGGATGTTCCAGGGATCTTCGAGAACCGCCAGGTCGGGAGGACATATCGGGCGCCGCGGTCGGTTCCAGAGCTTTCCGGAACGCCCTGAGAGCGTTCAGGAAGAGCGTTCCGGAACGCTCTGGAGCGATGCATCCTCATACTAAGCCTGGGAGAAGGGGACCCGTAGATCTGGCGGCTCGATCAGTCCGATAAGGCAAACGCCACTCTGGCCCTCCAGAGGTCGGTTCGGGCCCCGGCACGGTCACCAGACGACGACGACGACGACGACGACGACGACGACGACGACGACGACGACGACGACGATAACGACATGAGAAGCCTGCACGGGGAAGGGGTCGAGAGAGAGATCCGGGGGGCCAGGTCGCGAGGGGAGGGGAGGAGTTGGGGTGGGTGGTCGCAGCTGCAGAAAGCCGAATAGCCGCGCGGCGCTGAGATTCTAGGTGTCGCGCCAGGGAGCCATCAAGATCAACTACGCCACGACTAAATGTACACAGACACCCGCCGAGGACTGTTGCTTTTCCTTCAGGGTAAAATCGCTGGCTATCTGTGATGATTCATACACCGCCACCCTCCACTTAGACCCAGGAGCAATCCATTGGAGCGTGTGCATGTGGCGGATCAATGGTCACAGCAATCCGTAGATGCAAAGGGTGGGCGTGGCATCCCATAACCTACCCTTAGATTGCCGAATTTGCCGCATTTTAGTGATTTCGCGGAATGAGGGGGCCAGCCGGGCAGTTTTACACTGTCCACGTGAGCACGGCCGAGCGGGTGTTTCGCAATACGGGGCCATCCTGTTTCTCATTATTCCGTGCGGAATGGATGCCTCGCCTTCCTGGTCGCACCCTGAGACCGTGCGAACGGCGAAGAGGATGAGGAGCGACGAGTGGGGCGAGGACGAGCGGAGGAGGAGGGGGATGCGTGACGACGAGGAGGGCGAGGAGGGCGAGCAGGGGGATCAAGGCAAGAGCAACATGATGTAGGAAGAGGGCAGGGAGAGGATCGAGCCAAGAGGGTCGAGCAGGAGTAGCCGCCCAAAGCCAAAACTGCTTGCCGCCTCGCATCCGCTGCGATGGGCAGCATGGCCGGCCACGGGCGGCCGATCCTCCCACTCCTCCTCCTCCTCCTCCTCCTCCTACTCCTCCTCCTCCTCCTCCTCCTCCTCCTCCTCCTCCTCAGCCTCCCTCTCGCTCTCCGCCCCCTCCCCCCCTCCTCCCACCCCCTTTGCCCGTGACCTCAGACATGGCGCCCAGCAAGCCCCTCGAGAGGCCCCAGGGGTGCCCTCAAGACGAGCCCGTGCAGGGCTCCCCGCGCGCGGCGACCCGAGGAGTCGTGCGGCTTCTTCGTTTCGTGCGCACGCTGCTGCTGGTGTCCTCTGTCGCCACCCGCCCCGCGCTGCCCGCTTCCAAGGGATTCAGGGCGTCAGCTCATGGCGAGAGCGCCAAGAGAACACCAAGAAACAATCAAAGAAACTGTCAACCCAAAACGGCTAAACGTCTTGGGTGATCCAGGGAGCCCTCTTGGAGCTGTGGTGGGGGCTCCTCTTGAAGACCTCTTGGGGTCCTCCTGGATCTCTCTCGGAACCCTCTGGGGTCTCTTGGGGGACTCTCGAGGGACTTGTTCGGGGGCACGTTTGAGGTTACGAGGAAAGGGGGGGAGGAGAAGTGGGAGGCGAGGAAAAGGAAGGATGAGGAATAGCAGCCCAGGCCCTACTTGCAGATTGAGATGGGTAGTTTGGTCTCGGGCGGTTCCCACCCCTTCATCCTGCGTTTCGTTTCTCTTCTTGCCCTCCTCCTGCACCTATGTACGCATATGGTTTCCCTATCTCCCCTACTTTGTCCTCACCCTCCTCGCATGCCAATGTCCTCCTGCATCCTCTTCCTAACCATCCTCCTCATCCTCGTCGCGGCCTGCGCGAGTTTGAGTTGGGAGGAGCAGCAACCAGGTGCCCTAGACACGAGGCACAACTCCACGCGTGACTGTCACAATGAACAACGAAAGTTCGCAGCGAAGCACCCGCTCTGCCACGCGACCAGGGGCGCTGCAAGACGGTTCCGATCCCTGCACGCTGATGACCGTGCCTTGACGCAGGTGTTGAACCAAACTTGAGCATCTGTATGATTGCATAGCCCGCGCAACTGCGGACAAGAATGGGGTGGCAGCGGGGGGAGGTCGTCGGCAGTCTGCGACGCTCGCCAAAACATTCGAAGAAGCCCACTGCAGACGACACTCGTGTTACACACTGCGCAACGAGCCCGCCGCAGGCGCCGACTCTACGATTGGCGGAGCGCACACGCGGACAGGGGGGAGGGGGAAGGCTTCTTAGAAGCAGGGGTGCTTTTAAGAAGCCTTCCCCCCTCTCCCTGCCCCACTCTGCGCATGGCTGATATTTCCCGTCGGAGCAACGTGGGTGGATCGCGGGCGGGTCGCGGGGCGGGTCGCCAAGCGACGGCTCGCGGAGCGGGTCGCGGGGCGGGTCGCGGGGCGGGCTGTGGGCGACGGCAGAAACGAGAGTGATCAGAGCGACAATCCGCACCACGAACCCCCACTGCAGCCATGCACCCCGGGACCGTGTAAGACATTTCGCCCCCCGCAATCTAGATGTGCTTCTAGGGATGGGTAAATGCGTGCAGCGCTGTTGTGCTTCACACTTTGCTTCGCAGCCTACGAAGCATGGCACATCGCGGCTGCTGGGTACGCGCACGCGTGCTGTACGCGAAGACTGTATGTCAGAGATCTGGGGAGCGCACTCCTGTCAACGTTTGAGCTTCCTTCGCAGCCCCGCTGGGGAAGCAGACATCTCCGTGAGTTGAGCAGGGACCGACCGTTCCGGCATTCCTATAGTCCTACCATGAAATGTTCTTAAAACCCGCACATGAACTAACAACAATAAAAACAACAACAACAACAAGAAGAAGAAGAACACCAACACCAACACCAGCACCAACAACAACAACAACAACAACAATTACTAGCACGTGGGGACACTCCGTTCTCACCAGTGCCAGGGTTTTCATAGGAGGCGGGCAATACCCCCACTTTGTGGGGGGCCGGTTCAAGCTCTACCAAATTTCCAAACGACTCTTCGCCACCACCCACACCCAGCTTCCCGCCCTATGACGTTCGGACACTTCACTTCGTGGCATGCGGACGACCGTGGCTACTATTCAGGGCCCCGCGGCCGACGACGACGGCGTGCGCGCGCGAAGAAAAAACGAATGTGTCCCGCATGGTATTATTTGACAGGGATGATGGCCCTGGCAGGTGCGCAACCGTTGTTGCAGAAGTTCGAAAAAGTTGTTCGCAAAAACCCGTTTGACAGAAATGTTTAAAAAGTGTTGGGTTTCCTACGAATCCGCAAGAGCGCGCGGGATGAAATTTTGACATTTTTTAAACAAACAACCATTGTTTTTTTTTTGATGTTTTTATGTTAAAATCGCTACGACAACTAAGGTTTTGGAAGGATTCCGTCTTGCGCGCGCGAATGTCCACTTTACCTTATTTTTTGCAAGGGATTCTTGAAGTTTGGTTATGTTAGAACAAGAAATGTCATTTTATAGTGTTTTTTGACAGGGAAAGCGGGCGTCAACAAAACAACCGGATCTGGATCACATCGTTTTACTTGAGACTTCCTCACGAAAATGATGAAAATGTGGCTGCGGCCTAGGCGCGGCGGGGGGGGCGCGCACCAGGGGTCCCAACAATAATTATTCTTGAGAAGTAATAATGTTCAACTACAACAATGTTCTTAGAACATAAGCCCGATGTGATAAATCAAAGCAGGCTCCGCCAGACATTTTCTGAGAACATGTCGTGGAAATAACAGAAGGTTCTTAGAACATTAGGCGAGCCAGGACGCTTCGCCACTGCTTGCGTGAGGCACATGGCACCCCGACGTCTTGTCCGATGTGCCCAGCATGTCGCGAGGGGCAGAGAGGGCCTCTGGAGCGCAGCTGGCAGCCGCTCGAGTGCCCTGCCCCTGGTAGCACTGAGGCGGCTCCCCACAAATTTTGGGAACCCCGGGCCCAGGGGCGACAATGATCCACCCACCCCATCCTCCCCACGGGGGAACTCCTCCCGAGCGCCCCATGAGGCGGGGGAGGCTGCCGCGAGCGCCGTCGTCTGTTGCGCTCGTCTGCGTGGCGCCCCCCCCCCCCCCGCCCCCCCCCCCATCCGCTTCCTTGGCGTGGTGCAGGCGGGTCCCGAGAGAAGCAGGCCCTGGTCCCGAGATCCACCATGGGTCGCCCAACTTCGCGCACCCGCGCTCGGCAATGCGCGACGCGCCCTCCCTTGGAGAAAGGCAGCTGCTGGCCAAGACCGCGACGCGCGAGGCGCGACCACATTCGCGTCCCCGGGTGCGACCCCCCTGGGACCCCGAAGCCCTTTCCCCATGGGACCGGGCCTCCGTCCTCAGCCTTTTTCTGACAGCCACGGGGGCCCGAGGAGGGCCCCAAGGCACAAGAGCGGAGGCAGATCGCAGGACACCTTTCCTTCCGAACTCCTTTCCTCCGTCGACGGCCAGGCTGGAGAAGCACGGGCGCCAGATCGCGCCGCATCGCCGGTGCCTTGGCGCTCCGGCGTGGTCCACGGATCCCAGCTGCTACGGCCCCATGTTCTGGCCGCCCCTCGTCGTCGGCGTAGCCGAGATCGTTGCCGAGGTCGCCGTCGTCCGCGTCGTCGTCGTCGGCGTGCAGAGCCCGGTCACAGGCTCACCGAGCACTCAAACGTCAGCGGGTCGAATGCGCTGAAACTCTGCGGGCGCCTGGTGTTCCTCTCGGCGATCTCCGCCGAGACCTCGCGCATGCGGCGCGCGAGGCCGCCGTGCAGCACGCGGACCCTCTCGAAGAGCTTGTTGGTGCCCGCGGAGTGGCCGAGGTCTAGCAGGTAGCTCCAGTCTCCCGACAGCTTCGGCATGGGGGAGCCCGTGGCCGCGGTGAGCGACTGGGCCTGGACCATGTGCTGCATGTCCGCCATGGTCTGGCCGGGGCGCACCTGGAGGAACAGGCCGCCGGGGTCAGTGACGTATTCCACGGCGCCGCCCACGAACTCGTGGAAAGCGCAGGCCCAGAACACGCTGTGGGTGACCTGGTCGATGAGCGCTTCCTTCGACAGGGGCGGCAGTCCCCTGGTGTACTGAGGCGTCGTGCGAAAAGTCCAGTACTGCTGTATCTCCGGATCTGCCAGTACATGCAACTCGGTATCGTAATAGAGGTCGATGTACGCAGCATGCCACTCGCGGAGCATCTTCCATACTGCCAGTCCGTCCTCCCACATGGGCATCGTTGCCTTCAAATCCTCAGGCATGTCGCACTCATCGTAGGCCTGCGGCCATGTCCTATACCTAAATGAAGAGAATCCAGCCTCGAGGGCACCAACGAGCCCGTCGTGCTCCCAAGGCGTCATTCTGTGTAGGAAACCATCTTTCGGGTATAAGCCCCAGAACGCAGAATAATTGACCGAGGCCGTGTTGAATATGTTGACATGAAGCAGTCGTCGGATGGGATGGTCGGCCCGGAACGACTCTCTCAATGATGTGGAGAACGCATTCGACACAATCCAATGTGTGTGCACCAAATGGTCAACTGCGGTCACCTTCACGCCCAAAGTCCGCCACCGTACCCCGTGGAACGCTGAGGCATGGTAGCATGCCAAGTGATGCCTGATAGGGTGCCTTGTAAGGGACCATCCCCGCTCTGCTCGCGTCCACCCGCATGCATCGCCCCCCCCTCCTACTATAGGTCCTCGCTCCGAAGGCAGCGCTCCCATGTTAAAAACAATGGGTGTCTGCGTTCCTAAGGTTTCAAGATGGCCAAAGCAGGCCACCAAGGCCGCCAGGATGAACCAAGATGCTTCAAGACGGCCCAAGATGGTCCCAAGACGGCTCAATATGGCCTGCAGACGGCTCAAGACGCTCTCGATACGTTCCAACAGGACCATCAAGGGACTTTCAGGTAGGGCTCGGAGACACCCCAAGTCACTGACGCCCCTAAGATGTTTTGGGATTTCTGTACACTTCAGCAAGAGGGCTCCACGACGGCCACAAGAGACTCCTTAAAAGGCCAAGATGGCCCCACGACGGTCCAAGCGAGGCCCACGACGGCCCAAGCAAACCCCAAGAGGGCACAGGAGCCCGAGACAGCCTCAAGCTGAAAGGTGACACATCTGACTGTCTTCGGTGCTCGAAACTTTGCGACCCAGCGGGCTGGGCTGGCACGTTGGCCGGAGTTGCCGCAGGCAGCTGGAAACATCTCCACACGTACTTCGCGTGCTCCCATGCGTAGTCCCCGGGCCTCACGACGCAGCCACCGTGACACCAGTGGATCGCCGTGATGCGCAGCTCGCCCGAGTCTCCGCGGTCGAAGAATGCGGAGGCCCCGAGGCGTTCGAACTGCTCGGTGTCCCGCACAGGTATGTCGGAGGATGGCCAGCTGAGACAAGGGCGGCCCTGCCGCCCGGACCAAATGCAATCAAAAACTGCCCCTGCGGATCCAGCCGCGGCGGCCAGAAGCTCCCAAGAGGCCCAACACGAACAGAGACCGCCAGGAGGGCTCCTGGGATCCGACGTCTCGGAAGCACTACAACACCTCGAGCAGACACTCGACCAAAACACTGGACCCCACCTTCCTGCTGTACGTTGTCGAGCCGGACTGCTCCGTGAGGGCTCTTGGGCCAGAGGCAAAATCGCCCGCGGTAAAAAAATGCACGCGACGCCGTGGCCTCAGGGGCCACCGTTGTCTCGACCAGCCCTACTCCAAGTATAGACCCGAACAGCCTGCTGAGCGGATCGACTACGAACTCCCCGAGGCCCTCGCGTGCTGGCTCCTTGTTCCGCTGGAGGTCCAGCTGCCCCCAGCCGTATAGCGCCAGAAGGCCCTGCCCTCCCACCTTCCCCCCAGCTGCCCCTGCTCCCACTCCTCCTCCTCCTCCTCCTCCCCCTCCTTCTCCTCCTCCTCCTCCTCCTCCTGTTCCTCCTCCTCCTGTTCCTCCTCCTCCTCCTCGTCGCCGTCCTCCTCCTCCTCCTCCTCCTCCTCCACCCTTCTTCTTGTTCTTTTTAGTATTATTATTATCGTTAATACTACTACTACTCGCATTATCATAATAGGTCGCATTCTTATTGTTATTGAATCGCTTCGCTCATTCCGCCGGCCCGTATTGTGCCATCGCGGGGTCTTGGGGGGTCTTGGGGGCCTTTGGAAGCTTCGTGGGAGCTTCTTGGGAACTTTGGGAGGCCTCGTGGATGGCTCTGGGTGGGCCCTCTTGGTGGTCTCTTGGGGGGGTCTGCCTGGCCTCTTGGGGGCCTCCTGGGAGCTTCCTGGGGGTCTCTTGGGGGCCTCTTGGGGCTTTCTTGCGGCCTGTTGGGGGCCTCTTGGGGCTCTCTTGGGGGCTTCGTGGGGCTACTTGGGGGCTTGTAGGGGCATTTCGGGGGCGTGTTTGGGCGGGAGGCTCAAAATTTCCGTTCAGGTTGCCCCTGTGGACCTCAATCATGGGGCCGTCTTGGGGCCTCTTGGACCGTCTTGAGGGTTTCTTGGGCCTTCTTGGAGCGCTGTTCGGCCGTCTTTGAGCGGTCTTGAGGGTCTCTCGGGCCGTCTTGGGGTGATCTTGGGGGCCTCCTGGACCGCCTTGAAAGATGTGAAAGACGAAGAGGCGGATATGTTAAAAATGCACGATTTCCTAAGGGAATGATACGATTTTTGCTTGTGGGGGCCCTCTTGGGACTCCGCTTAGGGACCTCTTGGGGCGTCTTGAAGGCCTGTTGGGCTGTCTTGAGGCAATCGTAGGCGTTTGGGGGTGATATTTCGGCGTCTCCCGGCTCTCTTGGACTGTCTGGAGGGCTTCTCGGGCCCCTCTTGGACCGATTTGGAGCCCTCCTGGGCTCCGAAAAAGAGTTCTTGAGGGGTTCTTGGGCCTTCTTGGAGCGCTCTTGGGCCGTCTTTGAGCGGTCTAGAGGGTCTCTCGGGCCGTCTTGGGGTGATCTTGGAGGCCTCTTGGACCGCCTTGAAAGGTGTGAAAGACGAAGAGGCGGATATGTTAAAAATGCACGTTTTCCTAAGGGAATGGGACGATTTTTGCTAGTGGGAGCCCTCTTGGGACGCCGCTTAAGGACCTCTTAGGGACCTCTTGGGGCGTCTTGAAGGCCTGTTGGGCCGTCTTGAGGCCATCGTAGGCGTTTGGGAGTGATATTTCGGCGTCTCCCGGCTCTCTTGGACCGTCTGGAGGGCTTCTCGGGCCCCTCTTGGACCGATTTGGAGCCCTCCTGGGCTCCGAAAAAGAGTTCTTGAGGGTTTCTTGGGCCTTCTTGGAGCGCTCTTGGGCCGTCTTTGAGCGGTCTTGAGGGTCTCTCGGGCCGTCTTGGGGTGATCTTGGGGGCCTCTTGGACCGCCTTGAAAGGTGTGAAAGACGAAGAGGCGGATATGTTAAAAATGCACGTTTTCCTAAGGGAATGGGACGATTTTTGCTTGTGGGAGCCCTCTTGGGGCGCCGCTTAGGGACCTCTTGGGGCGTCTTGAAGGCCTGTTGGGCCGTCTTGAGGCCATCGCAGGCGTTTGAGAGTGATGTTTCGGCGTCTCCCGGCACTCTTGAGGGCTTGCCGGGACCTTGCCGGGACCTTGCCGGGACCTTGCCGGGACCTTGCCGGCACCTTGCCAGGACCTTGCCGGGACCTTGCCAGGACCTTGCCGGGACTTTGCCGGGACCTTGCCGGGACCTTGCCGGGACCTTGCCGGGGTACTTTTCGTCCGGGGACCCCCAGGGCCCGCGCGCGCGCGAACTAGAAATATTGTTGAGCAGTTACCGGAGATCTTAGCACGCCTCTGGCCCGTTGGGCCGGCAAATTAGTGTTAGCATCCGTATTGTGCTTATGTGTATGATCAGTATGCTTGGTATTAGAACGTGTGTTCTTCCCCTGCTCCTTCACCTACTCCGCCTCCCCTTCCCCCCCTCCTCCCCCTCCTCCTCCTCCTCCTCCTCCTCCTCCTCCTCCTCTTCCTCCTTATTATCCTCCTCCTCATCATCAGCGTCACCAGCAACATCAGCATAATCATCATCATCATCATCATCATCATCATCATCATCATCATCATCATCATCATCATCATCATCATCAGCAGCAGCAGCAGCAGCAGCATCATCAGCAGCAGCAGCATCATCCCCCTTCGTCTTCATCTTGTATTTCTTGTTAGTCGTACAATTAATCTCCTCGACCTATGATTATGAATACGAGAACGTTTATGCTTCTCCTAATCCTTCACCTACTCCGCCTCCCCTTCCTCGTCCTCCCCCTCCTCCCTCCCCCCTCCCCCTCCTCCTCCTCCTCCTCCTCCCTCCTCCTTCCTCCTCCTCCTCCTCCTCCTCATCATTCTTCCCCTCCCCTCCCCTCCCCCTCCCCCTCCTCCTCCTCCTCCTCATCCTCCTCCTCCTCCTAACAGCAATGATCCTCTCACTCCTCATCCTCACCCTTTTCCTCCTCCTCCTCCTCCTCATCACCATCATAATCATCATCATCACGAGCATCAGCATCAGCATCAGCATCAACATCATCATCAGCATCATCAACGGCAGCATCACCAGCATCATCGTCATCATCATCATCACCATCAACATCATCAGCATCATCATCACCACCACCATCATCATCACGATCATCAGCATCAGCAGCATCATCAGCACCATCAACATCATTGTCATCATCATCGTCATCATCGTCATCATCAGCAGCATGACCATCATCATCATCATCATCATCATCATCATCATCATCATCATCATCATCATCATCACCATCATCATCATCATCATCATCATCAGCATCATCATCATCATCCCACAGTCTTCTTCGTGTTCGTCTTTTTCTTCTCCGCATCCTCCTGCACCGACTCCTCCTCCTCCCCCTGCTCATCCTCCTCCTCCTCGTCCACCTTCCTCTCCTCCCCCTCCACGTCGTCCTCCTCCTCCTCCTCAATCTCCTCCTCATCATCATCCTCCTCCTCCTCCTCCACCTCCTCGTCCTTCTCCTCCTCCTCCTCCTCCTCCTCCTCGTCCTTCTCCTCCTCCTCCTCCTCCTCCTCCTCCTCCTCCTTATACTGGCTCCTCCAGCTCTCCCTCCTCCTCCTCCTCCTCCTCCTCCTCCTCCCGCCTCTTCTTCATCCTCCTCATTCTTCCCCCCCCCCCTCCCCCTCCTCCTCCTCCTCCTCTTCCTCCTCCTCCGCCTCCTCCTCCTCCTCCTCGACTTTCTCGTGTCCCTTCTCCGCCACCTACTCGTCCTGGGGCGAAGAGGTACGCAAGCCCCCAGTGTCGGGTGGGGAGGCCTCCGCCTCCTCTTCTTCCTCCCGCTCTCTGCTGGTTTGAGGCCCGACTGAGCCGATTGGGCATCGGCAACGCTCCGAGCCGAGTCCACAGGACAGCGGCAGAACTCTTCGCTTTCTCCTCCTCCTGAATCCCCCCGCGAAGCCCAGACACAACAGAAATGATCCTCCTCCTCCTCCTCCTCCTCCTCCTCCTCCTCCTCCTCCTGCTCCTGCTCCTCCCCTCTCCCCTCCTCCTCCTCCTCCTCTCCTCCTCCTCCTCCTCCTCCTCCTCCTCCTCCTCCTCCTCCTCCTCCTCCTCCTCCCTCCTCCTCCTCCTCCTCTCCTCCCCTCCTCCTCCTCCTCCTCCTCCTCCTCCTCCTCCTCCTCCTTCCTCCTCCTCCTCCTCCTCCTCCTCCTCCTCCTCCTCCTCCTCCAATTACTCAATACGAAAATACTCTCCCTCTTCCCCTGATGGCGTCTGGGTGAAGGCCGCGCAGCCTCCGCGTACTGTTTTTTCAGACACAGGATCCCCGGGAAATCCCGGGAAACGACTCTCGCTGAGGCGCCGGCGTTATTTTTTCCCAAAATGCTGCTCTCGTTGAGGCGCCGGCCTCATTTCTGCTCCCGAATCGTTCCGAATCGTGCTCCCGCTGCAGCGTGGGCCTCATTTTCGGATCGGTGTTTGGCCTCCGTCGTTCAGGATGGCGTTCTCGCCCCAGCGCGGGCCTTTTTCTCGCGCGCCCATCCGCCCGCCACCACCGCGCCGCACCGCCACCACCACCACCACCACCACCACCACCACCACCACCACCACCACCACCACCACCACCACCAACCAGCACCAGCACCAGCACCAGCACCAGTACCAACACAGCACCAGCACCACCACCACACCACCACACCACCACCACCACCACCACCACCACCACCACCCACCACCACCACCACGACAACCACGCACACACGCACGCACGCACGCACGTGCACCACCACCCACTACGCACGCGCGCGCGGAGCCACAGGTCCGCTACGACACGCGTCCGCGGATAGAGAAAATCAGCGCCATGGTAAGGGATGGGAGGGAGGGGTAGGACGTCAGATATGACGCGAGCGCACCTAGCTTGTCCCCCTCCCCCCCTCCCCTCCCCCTCCCCTCCTCCTCCTCCCCCTCCCCTCCTCCTCCCCTCCTCCTCCTCCTCCTCCTCCTCCTCCTCCTCCTCCTCCTCCTCCTCCTCCTCCTCCTCCTCCTAACAGAAATCTTCCTCTCACTCCCCCTGCTCCAGGGCCAGCCTGCCTGGGCCGGGTCGCTCGAGAACTCCCTCCACACGTCCTTCGCGGGCGGCAGGTGCGAGCCCTCGCGCTCGCGAGCGAACGCGAGCCTGGCCAGGCAGACCGCCCGCCTGCGCGACTCGTCGTCCCTCACGAGGAGCTGCTCGCTCATGGAGTCGCTGCTCCTGCTGGCCAGCACCCTGAAGGCCCGCTGTGCCAAGATCTTCCACACGGGCGTGCCGCTCCACTGCTCGTCCTCCGTCGGCATCCGGACACCACCAACCGGTAACACGACGCTGTTGTGACTCGTCAGGGGAGCCGCTGGCCTCCTGGGCACCTCAACCTCGGTGATGTGGTAGTTGTCTTCCCAGGCAAGCGTGGATGCCCTGTAGAAGAACTTCGTGAACTCGTCCATCGCAGACAATGCATCGGGGACCCCGTCCCCGTCACTGTCAACCGTTTTGATGAAAGACTCAAAGTCCTCAGGGGTGCAGTCGGCAAATGCCTGTTCCCCAGTCTGGCTGCCGTCGACAAAGCTTTGGTATAGCGAAAGGTTCTCGCGCAAGTTGACACCGTCTCTCTCCAATGCGAAAGACTTGAAATAATCAGGTTTCGTTGCGGGTTGAATTCTTTCAGCCGAGCGCCACGCAGGTTCGGCGACTAATTTGTGGCAGCTGGATGGGGAGCTCAGCACAAGGACGAATGCCTGACAAGCGTCAAGGGCCTGTTGAGCCCCAGGGCAGAACCTCGAATTGTTGTCGTCCGTGGCGCTTCTGGCCGACTTGGCAAATCCAATATGCTTTTCCCTGTACGTGTTCAAATCCTTCAGCGTGAATTTGTCTGAGTCCGGGCCCCATGCCTTCGGGTCCCTGAGGGCTGCGGCCAGGTGCGCAATGTGGCGGTGGCCGTCCTTGTGCCAAGGGAATCCCTGCACTGCCGGGAACAACCTCGTGACCTCGTAGACAAACGCCTCTACATTGTGGAGCGTGATCGCCTCTGTCATGATGCCCGTGTAGATGCAAGCAACTGCAGATCTGATGGTCGATGGAACCGACAACCCGCCAGCGAAACAAAACATCTCAAGGATGCCCTGGGCGACAAGTGCACGGTGTTCCTCTTGCACCTCGAACGGTAACTTCTGCGCAATCATATCGCGATATTTGACCTGGCCCCGTAACACGCCGTCGTTTGTGAATTTCAGGTCGAGGACGGAAATCTGGCCTACATGGCCAGCCGATCCCAATAGCCACGAATCCCTCATTTTGATGAACCCATGGGCGAACGCCTCATCAACATCGTGGCCGGCGACGTATGTCCATAACATCCGCGACCACCACACGTCCACATCCCTGGGAAACTCAATACTGGTGCGGCCGTGCATGAACCGGCTGACCTCCTGCAGCAGCGTGCCCCGCCCAGGAATGCGACCGATCAACTCTCTGGCGAAACGCCGCTGAACGCGGTGGACGTCCACGGGGTGCGCGAGGCTCAGCGACCAGTGTGGAGCGGGGAAGATACCGTCGTCAAGGACAAGGAACCCGAGCTCGTTCTTGCGCACGACCTGGAGGAGATCGATAAGGGGAACCAGCTCAGGGGGGGAAACATCGTCCTGGAATCGGCGATACATCTTTGATAGATCGGTGATCGACCCCCGAGAAGGAAACCGCAAAGCGCTGGGCCGGGTGCGGGCGCTAGGGGGGTCGATGCGTCCCCCCCCCGAGCCTATTCTCCCACATTGCCCCCGAAAATTCGGGTCATATCTTGGCTCTCTGGCGGCCGTTCGGGACGATCCGGGCACCCCTGGAACGCTCTCGACGGGGCGCAGCTGGAGGCTGGAAAACCGCCGAGATTCAACGAACGCGTCCGAAAGCCTCAGCCCTCGAAACTCGGTAATCCCCCCTGGAGCCTGTCCTTCGCTCTAACGTTGCCCCTGACGACCTCGCCGCTCTCCCACTCCGCACAGTGGCCCCGCAGCAGCCTGTCGCACTCCTCGTGGGTCTGGTACACGGTGCCGCCAGCAAAGGGCCCCCGGCCGCCCCGCTCGTGCGCCACGTGGTCGGCGTAGGCGGGGCACCGGCTCCACCGGGCCATGTCGCGGATGTACGGGGGCAGCAGCTCCTGGGGCGCATCACGGACGAGAGGGGGGCGCCGGGGAGCGCATTGAACTCAGACGGGGTGGGAGGTGTCCTGGCCCCGGCCGCGTCGAAAACTTCGGCGTCGTGTGTTGCTTCTTTTCCGCCGCGTGGGCCTCCGACCTCTTCCCGATGGCCGGCTTGTCCTCGTGAGCAGTTCTTTCGGGGTCCCGGGGCCTGGTGAAGCCCTAGTACGCCGATCGCTTGAAAGATACAAGATACGTTTTGTCGTGATTTTCACGCAGAGGAAGTGACTGAGGTGCCCACCCCGTCCCATACACGCCCCTAGAAAAACAATGCAACTTGTGCAGGTCGTCTCGAAGAATCGTCCGAGGGCCTTCCCTTGGGGTCGTTCATCTCAAGTCCGGTTCTGACGGTCCTGGGGCCCAATAGCGGCCCACACACGCCAAAAACCAAGGGAAAACTAGAGCAACGAAAACAAACAAATCGACGACTTCCCCAGAGATGCTTTAATAGAAGGGGTCTCTTACCTGGCATTCAGAATTGCATCGTCGGAAACCCTTGCCGCCTCTGAGGGCCAGCTGTGGGCCGTCCGCTTCGGCTTTCGAAGAGTGGCGACCCTCATTGGGATGGCGCCTCTCCTGGTAGGCCGGAGGCCTCTGCCAGCTCTGTGGGCCAGCTGTGGGCCGGACGCCTTGGCCCTCGAACAATGGCGATCCTCCCGAGGCCAGCTGTGGGCCAGGCGCCCTGGCTTTCGAGCAATCATCGCATTCGAGGTCGACGTTGGGGTAATCAAGTTTCGTTGCCTTTCCAGGCAGTGTAGAATGTGTAGTCTACCTCCTTCTCGGACGCCCCGGGAGCTCCGTAGCGGCGGCCAAGACCACGGGGCACCCGGGCGGCCGCTCGCGACCGGTGGAGTGCCCCCACCACCACCTCCCGCCACCGACCTCGTCTGACGCGGCCTCCTCTGCCCCGTCCTCCCTGCCGACGGCCACGCCGGCCTCACCCAGGACATCTCGCTGGAAGAAGGACAGAGCAGCACAAAAGCCAGAACGTTTAATGTTCAGGTGTTTGCGTTTTGATCTTCAAGTGTTGAGCCTCCTCCTCCTCCTCCTCCTCCTCCTCCTCCTCTTCCTCCTCCTCCTCTCTCTCCACCTCCTCCTCCCCCTCCTCATCCTCCTCCTCCTCCTCCTCCTCCTCCTCCTCCTCCTCCTCCTCCTCCCCTCCTCTTCATCCTTCTCCTCCTCTTCCTCCTTCTCCCCCTCCTCCTCCCCCCCCTCCTCCTCCACTCCTTCCTCCTCCTCCCCTCCTCCTCCACCTCTCCTCCTCCTCTCCTCCTCCTCTCCTCCTCCTCCTCCTCCTCCTCCTCCTGCCTCCTCTCCTCCTCCTCCTCCTCCCTCCTCCTCCTCCTCCTCTCCTCCCCCTCCTCCTCATCCTTCTCCCCCTCCTCTTCCTCATCCTCCTCTTCCTCCTCCTTCTCCTCCTCCTCCTCACCCCTTCTTCTCCTCCTCCTCCCCCTTCTCCTCCTCCTCCTCCTCCTCCTCCTCCTCCTCCTCCTCCTCTCCTCCTCCTCCTCCTCCCCTCCTCCTCCTCCTCCCCCTCCCCCTCCTCCTCCTCCTCCTCCTCCTCCTCCTGCTCCTCCCCCCCCTCCTCCTCCTCTTTTCCTCCTCCTCCTCCTCCTCTCATCATCATCCTCCTCCCCCTTCTCCTCCTCCTCCTCCTCCTCCTCCTCCTGCTCCTCCTCCTCTCCTCCCCCCCCCCCCTTCTCCTCCTCATCTCCTCCTCCTCCTCCTCCTCCTCCTCCTCTCCTCCTCCTCGTCCTCCTCCTCATCCTCCTCCCCCTCCTCCTCTTCCTCCTCCTCCTCCTGCTCCTCCTCCTCTTTTTCCTCCTCCTCCTCCTCCTCCTCCTCCTCCCCTCGTCCCCCCCCTTCCCCTCCTCCTCCTCCTCCTCCTCCTCCTCTCCCTCCTCCTCCTCTCCCTTCTCTCCTCCTCCGCCTCCTCCTCCTCCTCCTCCTCCTCCTCCTCCTCCTCCTCCTCCTCCTCCTCCTCCTCCTCCTCCCTCTTCCTCCTCCTCCTCCTCCTCATCCTCTTTCCCCTCCTCCTCCTCCTCCTCCTTCCTCCTCCGCCTGTTCCTACCCATCCTCCTCCTCCTCCTCCTCTTCCTCCTCCTCCTCCTCCTCCTCCTCCTCCTCCTCCTTGGGGCCATGAGGGCATCTTGGGGCCTTAAGCGCAATGCTGGGGAATCTTAGGTGGTTGGTTGGTTGTCTGGCTGGCATTATTAGGCTGTGGGTGTCTTTGGCGGTTGGTTGGTTGGCTGGTTGGGAGAAGGTTGGTTGGCTGGCAGTCTTGGGGCAGCTTGGGGCCTCCAGGGCATCAATGGGACATTCGTCCTTTGGCTTTGTCTCACCGCCGACCTCCGCCCTCGTCGCCACGGCTGGACAATCCTAGGGTCGGGGCCATGGTATTGTTTTTGTTTTCTGCTGTTTTGTTTTGTTATCCCAGGGCTTAGCCTGCATCTCAGAGCCTCGGAGTAGAGGGGGGATGCGTGACCATACTGGCAGATTGTGCTGCTGATCGCCAACGTGCCGCTGCTCGCCAACTATATCTATGTGTCACGTAGCATGGCCAGACGTTGGTTGGTTGGTTGGTTGGTTGGACCGATTGCATGGAGGCAGTGATCGATCACAGTGTCGTTTGCAGCGGATAGCCATGTGTATGTGCATGTCTACATGTGTGCACGTATGCAATGTAATGTGTTTGTATGCATGTAAAGTGTGGTTATGTATGTTTATCTACGCATACATACACATACTACACACCCAGCTTTATGTTCCTATGTTCCTACCCATATTAATCCTCCTCTTCCTTGCTGCCCTCCCCATTTTCGCATTCCCCTCCCTCATGTGATGTTGTCTTATTCCTCGCCCTCGACGCGTGAGAGCAGGTTTGCCCCCCCTCCTTCTTGCGCTCAGCTGCGTGGCCCAACATTTTCAGCAAAATGGGTGCTGCTGGGTCTGAACCTGAAGCCGCTCGCTGGGTGCCGACTGCAGATGTCTTGGCACAATCCCTCGTGCACGTGTGCCCTGTCATGTATGCCTCCTGAGGGGATTGGGAGGAGAGGGCAGAGGTGGAGGATATTATTAGTTACGAGGCTGGGAACGGAAATGGCAGGATATGGCAGGATGCAGAAGGGGGAGGAGGAAGAGCAGAAGGAGGAGGCGCTGGAACAACAACAAGATAGAGGACCTTACTTGAGGGACCTCCCTTCTCTGATCGATCTCGTCCAAGATGGCCTTCTTAAGAGGCGCCCGGGAGGCCCCAAAATGACCCCAATGCCCCCAAGAGGCCCCCAAGAGGCCCAAGAGCCCCCCAAGAAGACCCCAAGCAGCCCCAAGAGGCCCCCCAAAGCACCCAAGATGCCCAAGAGCCTCACTGAACCGCCAAGAGATCCCCAAGACGCCCCAAGCGTCCTCCTCCTTCTTCTCCTCCACCTCCTCCTACTCCTCCTCCTCAGCATTCTCCTCCTCCCCCTCCCCCTCCTCCTCCTCCTCCTCCTCCTCCTCCTCCTCCTCCTCCTCCTCCTCCTCCTCCTCCTATTCATCATCCTTCTCCCCACTCCCTCATCCATTCATCAATCCAGCCTCCTCCTTCTCCTCATCCCTCCTTCGCTCAGTTCGGCTGTCCCAATCTTTGCTCCCACCTTTCCCTGGTCACCTCAACTCGCTTGGGCGTCGTTTCTGGATGGGCTGGTGGGGATGCGCGAAGCGTCAACAATGAATTGTTATTTTCATTGGTCCCTGATGGCATTGCAGTCTGTGGCTGGTGCTGTATCTGCTGCAGTTGTGGACGCCTCTGACCAGGAGAACGATGAGTAGGAAGTGGGAGAGGAGGGCCCCCTCTCCTTGCTGTTCTGGGGAGGGCCCCCACAAGCACAAGAAACAAATCACAAGGACAACGATTCACATTACTATCGAAGATATTATCATGTGGGGTCCTACCATTGAGGTAGTAGTGATAGTAGCCATTGTTTTCCAAATGCCACTGCAACAGTGTGCCTGGGATTCCAAGGCAGGCCATTGGCCACCCGAAACAGAACTGATGAGTGTGCACCTTTCCCCTGACAGTGCTTGTGCTTGCCAGGTAGCCCAAGCAAAAATCCCAATGTGCTCTGCTGGAGTGTCGTCCCTTTCCTCAACCTCCAACGAGAGGGGGGGCAGGGAACCAAATGGGGACCACGCGAGGCCACGCAGCATGTATGAGGGCCCAAGAGGGCCCCTAGAAGCAAGTGGCCACCCATAACAAAAGCCGCTTTCCACGCCCAGTCAGCTTTTCTCAGCGATGGCCAGGGGCCTACTCGAGGCCAGTGCCTGTTCCCTGATCACCCTGCCTCATCCCCTTCCCCCTCCTGCCTCCTCACTTCCTCCTCCTGCACCCTCATTCTCCTTGCCCTCCTGCCCCAATGCTCCTCCTCCTGTCCCCTCCTCCTCATCATCTGCCTCCTCATCCTCCCCCCCCATCCTGCCTCTGGCCTTCTCTTCCTCCTCCTCCTCCTCCTCCTCCTCTTCCTCCTCCTCCAATCCCAAATCCCCTTCCTGCCTCTTCCTCCTCTTGCCTTGTCCTCTTCCTCATCTTGCCTTGTCCTCCAGCCCCTGCCTTCTCCTCTTCATCTGCCTGCTTGACCTCATCTGATCCACTGTTCGCATGGGCGTCATTGGTCGCCATCGTCTGCCTGGTATTTTTGTTGTTGTTTGCTGTGTTTCTGGAGGCCCCCCTCGAGTGCCCAAAACAACCTCTTGGACCCCTCTTGGGGCGCTCTTGGTGCATTGGGGCTCTCTTGGGCCCCTCTTGGGGCCCTCTTGGGAAATCTTGGAGCCATCTTGAAGCTCTGGATGGCGATTGGAAGCGAAAAGCAAGTAATCAACCCGCCGCTTTGATGTTCTTCTTATAAGTTTTGAAGGATGTTGGCTTCTTGTTGTGTGGCCTCCTTGGCAAGTTCGT